CAGGCACGATCGTGCCTGGCTGGCAGTAACTCCGCGATGCTTTCTCTTCACGCACGATCGTGCCTGACTTTGAGGCCACGATCGTGCCTACTTAACTTCCGAATTTGGCAATGCTTTCTTCATGAAAGTTGTAGATAATGAAGTCCTCTATCCACCCCAATTTGCCGAATTGGATTTGAATCATCCAATCAAGAGATATGAATAACATGGTGGAAGGTGTCATTCTGAAATCGCAGCAGAGATCATCTGACTTCATCGTCTGTTTTCACCTTCTTTCTCTCATATTCTCGTAATGGTGTCTTCATATGATTTGTAGCCATTGAAGCTGGCTTTCATATGAAACTTGAATCGTGTCCATTGGTTGTTTTTACAAAGAGATATGCTTGAACTATTGACAGAAAGTCATCATGATCGTCGTTTTCAAGCTTCATTCATCTTCTTTTGATCCCATAACCAATCCTAGAGCTCTTTTGTCATCAAATCTTCATCGTGAACCTCCTGGTGATTTCCAAAGCTCTCAAATCACTCTCGAATGCTTCTCAACTCGTCCCGATTTCTCCTCAAGCGCCGGTGCCGAACTCTAAATTCCTGATTTTGACTCCAAATGACACAAAACTCGAACCAATGTCTGGTAAACATAACTTGAGCTAAAATTGAGACTTGTAACACCTTAAAGCTAGGAAAATCATCAAAAGCCGATCTCAACATGCATCAAATGCGTGTCAAAATACGGACTTATCATATTTCATCCCGGATGGCAGCCAATTAGTAGGTCAGTTATCGATTCTTCCGGAGCTCACGTGGACAACCAAATGCGTTATTTTTTGTGGTTATCTGGAGAGGATATGATACGCAGACAGTCGTCCTCTGTTCCACTGTTCATTCCCCCACCTCTTTTTTTTTTTTGGAAAAAGCAATTTTATTCATATAATCCCCCACCTCATCCACTCTCTAATAAAATCTTTGAAGAAGTGTACACAATTCAATTCTCTCTTCACAGTTAGGATTTTACGGAGTATCTTTTAGAGCATCTCCAATCGGATATCGTTCACGTTAATAATAATTGCCACATCGTCGATGTTAACATTGCTACTAGCATTTTCGTCTCCAATGCAGCATGTCTAAACTCAAGTTATGCTTGCGTGTAAAACAATAACGTAAACAATGTTAACATGAATGTCTTTTGATAACATCATGTTTCACATGATGACTCAGCAATTTGGTGGAGAACTACCGAAAAAACGTTTGGGCGACACCAATAAATAAACCACGAACTGAAGTAGTGGGTTTCTCAAGCAACTCATTGCCGAATATGTAGGGGTTTAGTGGGTTACTCTGTATTTTATTTTATTTTTATTTAAAATTAACCCTCCACACGTAAGCTTATGAGTTTGAACATTGACATGAAGCACTGGACCAAATTTTGGGAGTTCACCGTCTAATTAAATTACTCTTATGTGACATGGATGAACATTCCACTTATTGATTGCCAAGTTTCAAAATTTACATCATGTTAACAATGTACCATTAAAGATGCTCTTAGTGTTATGGACTCGGGTAGTTGCACATGTGGTACTTGATTCCGGCCGGTGACGAATTGGAGCAGAGCTTTGGGACTACAACGGATTCGCCGGAAAAACAGGGGTTGTTGCCATGAAGTCGCCGGAATTTGTTTCTGTGGTCACCAACCACCACTCCGGGTGGGGTGGAGCTAGAAAGAAAGAAGAAGTTAGGGAGAGAAAGAAAAAGGAAAGTATGGTTGGGGGTTTGGGAGAAGAAAATAGCAGAACATATTGCGGGCTTGGGAAGAAGAAGAAAGTACGATGGGGTTGGCAGCTTGGGAAAAAGAAGAAAGAACGTGGGAGAGAAAATGAAATAAAGAACGAAAAAAGGAAAACGTAAAACCAGCCACGTGGATTCCACATGTACAAATTAACATATCAACCCGTTATTCACCGGGCAAAAGAGAGTGTCTTTTTATAGTTTAAGGGCTTGATTGGATGATTTGATAGTACGAGTAACTAATTGACTTTTTCATTATAGTACAGGGACCTATTTGACATTTTCCCATGATTAAAAGTAAGAAATTTAGGACATCACATGATAGACGTCAATATCTATATATCTATATCTATATAATATAATAAAACAAACCCCTATCAGTCCCATTTGCAAGAATATTGACATGTGGCAATGTTCTTCTAAGAAATATTGACAAGTGGAAGAATTTTGTGGAGGATTAAATGACATGTGAGAACATTTTTGGTAGAAACCATTTGGCTGCACGCACACCACATATTAGTATATAATAATGTTCCATCATTAAGAGAATTAAAAACCGATGGCTCGTTTGGTTGTTTACGCGTTAAATCTTTGCACGTAAAGTGATTGCATGCAAAGTATAGGGAAGCAATCATTTTGCATGTAAAATAGATTACATTGTTTGGCTAGATGTGTAGTTTATTTTTAAATTGCACGCAAAGTCGTTGCAGTGCTTCAGAAAAGGCATGCAAAGTATTTTACCACCCTCCCCCCATGTAAAATACTTTACGTGGTACAGTGCGAAATGTTTTAAAAAAGTGCCCTACAGTTTACATTAAATAATCAAACCAAACAGAGTAAACATTTTACGTCCTTACACTTCGCACGCAAAGTAATTGTTTTGCGTCTTACAAAACGCCCCCTCAAAGTAAAATGAACATCAAAGGACACCACTAGCGGTAAGCCCATATGCACGCATCATCGTATTAATAAGGGAAAGTTCCCGAAATGGGACTAAAAAAGTTTGAAAATTCCAAAATAGGACTGTCATGTTTTTATTCCCAAAATAGGACTAATTACTGCCAAATTTGGAAAATAATGTCATGTTTGAAGTCTGGTACTGCCAAAAACATGAAAGTCCTATTTTGGAATTTCCAAACTTTTTTAGTCTCATTTTGGGTAATATCTCTATTAATAATAATGTTCCTGCAATAAAATCATTTTAAAACCTAAAATAAAACTGATATTTAGCAACATAAAAGCATTTATTGAATTACTCAAAGGACACCGTTATACGTATGCCCCATCTAATATCGGCACAACATGGGATCATACACATTAGTACTCCCTCCGTCCCTAAATTTACTTGTTGTAAGGTGTTAGAGACAGTTTCTTAATTTATTTTTGGAAACACGTTTCTTAATTTATTTTAGGAAACACATCCTAGTTGCCTTGGGGTTAGGATTTACTTCTCTATAAATACAAGCTCTCTCCCTTGTAATCATTGTGTGTGGATCCGAAAATAGCAATAATATTCCTGGCTTGGTAGCGCCCCCAGACGTAGTCATTCGTGGCGAACTGGATTACCAAATTTCGTGTGTTCTTCATTATTGTTTTTTCGTGTGCGGGAATTAAATTCCTAACACTTCCGTAGTACAAATGACACATGGATTAAGATAGTAGGTATTGTGTGATGGAACGTTATGCAAAGGAGAGAGAAATGTGTGAGAATTGATGTGAACCACAAATTCTTTACCAAAAAGAGAAAGTAAAAGTTTATTTTGGAACGCCCAAAAAAGAAAGTTAGAAGTATTTTTAGGGACAAAGGGATTATATATCATATAATGTTCAAGCATTAAAAGCATTTTAAGGCTATCTGAATTCTATTACGAAGTAAGGAGTATTACTTTTGATCGTTGTTTGCTTTTATCTCCTCCATGTTGATCTAATCACTCCAATGTTGGACAACTCCGTATCATCCATAACTCCTGAAATGAACGATTTGAAAATCAAAGTCCAAATAATAAGGCTTTGAAAAGTTTTTAGTACTACTTCAAAGCCGCCATTTTGTTTGTACATGTTTTTTTATGGATGAATCGGTAAATCTATTTCACTTTACTATTCATGTTCAGGTTGTTTTTCTCATTTCGTTATTATTAATAATATTATTATTATTATTAGTCATGTTTTTGAGTGACTCTTCATGTTTATTATTTATGTGATTCTAGGGATAAAAATCCAAGCTTCTATGAAAAAGACAATCATTTATAAGTGTGAAGGACAATTGGAGAAAACAAAGTTTAACAGCATGGAAGGGTTTGAAATAGTAAGAATTGGTGGCGATTATACGACTTCTAGACATGAGCAGCCCTTTTAGCTTTATTCCTATTACTGAAATCATGACTCCTAATTTTGACGAATCTTATTTAGTAGGTAAGTGATCCTTTCACAAATCAATACACCGTATATATATATATATATATATATATATATATATATATATATATATATATATATATATATATATGTTATTTTTTGATTCATTTGGTAGCTGTTTAAGTGTTACATGTGCTGGATTGCAGACTTGATCGGAATTGTAACTGATATTGATACTGAAAGAGAGTGTCAACAATAACCAACAAAGTTAAATGAATGTCATTGAGTTGGATCAAAAGGGGCCTAAGGGTGCATCATGCATGCTCTTTATCCATACATATTTCACAGATTAAACTATAAAATCTAGTTGACTGGTGTTTAAACTCATCAAATGTTAGGGTGTCAAAAACTTAAAATAGACTATATCTATCCTCACTTAAATAGAGCAAATCATATCACAAATTTTGATCGTAAACAAAATCATTCACCCAATTAATTGATTAAACAACAAGAATACAACTACGTTGACTAATTATTTATAACTGACAAAGCAGTCTAGCTAAACTTGCATTTTGAATTGTGCAATAGTAAAAATAAACAAGGTTGTAATTACTTTTCCAGCTGAATTACGTTAAGTTACTTTATATATAAGGAAGATTTCTTTTGGACTGTTTTCAGTCCCAGACCAGATCAGACCAGACTTCCGTAGTTATAAATACACAGAGACCAGGCGTTTACCAGACCAGTTCAGACCAAACCTGACCAACAAATTTCAATCCAAAAGAAAACATCCTAAGATCATTTAAGCTATTTTCAATTAATTTTTATTTATTTTATTAATAAATACATTATAAATGTATTTTTTCCGCAATTAACCATATTGATTCAATTCAACCGATCCAGTCAAAATTACCACACACACAAACAAAATTACCGTGCGACGCACGGGTACACATACTGGTTACTAAAAAGGAGACCATACTAGTCAAATACATACAAGTTCAAAGATTTAATCAAAGATTTTAATAACTACATCTCACCCAGTTTATGTTTTTCCATCATTTCCACTGGAGTCAAAGACTCGCTATTTTTTTGGCTTGGGATTATGATGGAATAAAGTAGAATGACTCACTAAATGTCTACGCTTGTTTGTTATGAAGCAGTAATCAACAATGCAATTTTCTACGCGATTTTCATCAAGGGTCATCCATAAACATTCTCTCTGTTTTAGTACAGGGGTAAGACTGCATACATCTGACCCCCTACCCCACAGTTGGCTGGAGCCTTTGCGGCACTAGGGTAATGTTGTTGTTGTATCTCACTCAGTTTATGTCAGGCCTTGTTCGGCTTGTCACAGTTTTATGCTTGCATTGGGACAAGCTGACATAGCTCAGACTTTGGATAAGTCTAAGGTTCCCCTGCAATATCAAAATAAAATGACAGATTTAGTTGGATGAATCCAAAAAAGCATAAACAAAAATTTCCTAATGAAGACAAACCTCATTGCATTTCAATGTTAGATAATAGAAAATTTGCATAATAGTAATCCTTAACACAGACCTTGCATATTGAGCTCATAAACGATCTAATTAGAACTTAAACATTGACATATACTACATATAAGCAACAGAGAATAGGCTCCAAACATAAAACATTGACAATCTAATTTAAAAGTCAGAGTTAAGTTGGATCGTAAAACTTGACAATCTAATTAAAACTAAAAACTAAAATGTAACTTGGACCATATAACATTGTAAGACTAATTAAAAACTTACATCACATAAAGCTCATAGCTATCCTAAGGGGGATTTCCAATCTAAATATAAAAATAAATAAATTCTACTTTCCTGATCGCTAGATAGAACCTTAGCAAGAGAAATGCTTTAATTATCCTCTAAACAGATTTTGATGGTCATAAGGCTACAAAACTCAGTTGCAATCAAGTTAATGATGATCATAAGGCTGGAAGAGATGACACGATTATGTCATTATGCACTCAGCTCCAAAAAATCTACAAAAACTTAAATCGAAAGGACAAGAATAAATTCCAAAATTTGAAAGCCCAAGTTCCTTAGAGTAATCGAAAAAACACAAGAAGATCTAATCCAGACCTGGGTGACCTTATTGAAAACCGTAATGTTCTGCTAAAACCATAAGCTGAAATCTTAAACCATACATGAAACCCATAATGTTGATTAAAAAGTAGTGCCTAATTTAAAACTGCGTACCAAGAATGAAACCCAAAAAAAGGAAAAAATCATATATAATACCTGGTTGTGTGTTGATGCAGTTTATATGCTTGTAGATGGTGAAGAATTAATGAAGATCTGATCTAGGCCATCTTTGTTAATCCAAATTAACCCAATGATCCACATTGAAAATGTCCAAACATATGAGCAAAGAATAGTAGGCTGTACCCACAAAACTGCAGCATCAAGACTACTATACAAAATAAAAAAAGTGAAAGAAGAAGCAGAATAATTGTAGATTTGTAGGAGAGCAGAGCATCAGTCTTGCAAAGACAGGAATTGAAAAATTGCAGGAGAAGTGAAGAACCTGAATCAAACAGCAGACAAATAGAACCAGATTCCTGAGCACAAGGGTTAGCTTTCTACAAAAACAAAAAATAATGTGTCAATATTAGAATCTTTAAAGTCCGAGGACATTTCACATCACTTTTTTTGTCCATTGGTTATAACTACATCGTGAACCGTAATGATCCTACCATTTCTATTTGTTGACATGGCTTGCCAACTGATCCAGCATAGTCTATAGACTCTAAATCTGTCAAAAAACACAGAGAAATAAAACTTACCAACATCGCCACCAATGTTGCGGCAGAGCATATGGCGAACAAGTGACTGAAGTCTGAGAATCAAGCTGAACATGTCTGACGCTTGTGAAGACTCTTTTGGATCTTTATCAGTAACGCATCACATGGAACACATATTTCTTTTGATTGTTGCTCAGCAAACTTTGGAAGAAGCTCTGCCAAATCGAGATCTTCAGACATGTCACAAATACATCTTAAAATAGTTGAAGTGATTTTAGAGTCTAAAACAATTCCTTTAGCAGCCATTTGGTGAAGCATATGAATAATTTCATCTGGTTCGCCTTTAAGACTAAATCCCTTGAGTAAAGAATCATATACATGGATGCTGGGTGTGAGGCCAGATGCAACCATTTTGTCAAACAATTTCTTAGCCACCTCAATCTGTCCTAGGTTTGAAAACCTACTTATTAGTATAGAAAAGGTGAAAGCATCAGGATTCAAACCCCTTTGAAGCATTTGGGTTAGTAGTTCTTCAGCAAGCTGCAAATTTCCTGATTCCAAAGCCGCATCAATTATGATATTGTACGAGACAGAATCAGGTTTACAATTCCCATCACTTATCATCTCTTGAACCAACCTCCTTGCTTGTTCAAAGCTGCTTTCCTTGCACAAAGCTGCCATGACTGAGTTATAATCAAACACCGTGCGGTTCTTCAGGGTTAGAAAAACTCCCTTTGCAATGTTTAGCATTTTTAACTTGCAAAATCCATCAATTAAGGAACTGTAGGAAAGCGAGTCTGGAATAAAACCAAGTTCAGTCATCTGCTTCCATTTACACAGAGCTTGCTCAACATTATGTTCCTCCTTTAGATAAGCTCCAACGAGCACAGTGAAAGTTTGCACATCAACAAGTTTTTTGTTATCAACCGCCATCTTATTATGAACCTCCGCAGCTTCATCAATGCGTTTTTCTTGACACAGTGCTTGAACCAAAACAGTCACTGTTCTAACATCTGGTTCAGTATAAATCTTCTTGTCTGTCAACATTGAGTTAAACAGTGACATGGCATGATCTACCTTCCCATTGTAACAAAACCCCTGCACGATGGTATTGTAGGTCACCACGTCTGGGTTCTCACCCTTCTCTACCATTAGTTGTAAGATATTATAAGCATCGGTTAATAATCCCTTATCAAAAAGTCCACGCAGCAGAACATTATAAGTTATATTTCCAGGCACTAAACCCTTTCCAAGCATCAAATTAAACACCTTCAATGCTTTGTCTGCCCTTCCGCCTGTGCAAAGCCCATTGACTATGCTGGTGAATGTGACAATATCAGGATTGACTCCACGCTCCAACATAGAATTGAACATCATCATGGTTTCTTTCAGCTGGCCCTTGTTACAAAAGCCATTTATCAAAGACGTATATGTTACTACATTCGGAGATACCCCTTGCACTAGCATTTCATCAAACACCTCCTTGCCTTTGTTCACATTACCTTTACTGCAAAGTCCATTTATAAGTATGGTATAGGTAAACACATCAGGTTCCAAACCCTTGATCTTCATCTCATCCAGCAATCCCATTGCTTCATCCACCTCCCTGTCTTCCCTGAAAAGCCCATCCATCAATATAGCATATGTGAGCACGTTGGGAGTAAGGTTTGCATTTTCCATACCAACCCTCAAGTTCAAAGCCTCCTGAAATTTGTTCGCCTTGCAAAGCCCTTTAATGAGGGTGTTATAGCTAACTGTGTCGGGGATTACCATTTTCCCACAGAAAAGTTCCACCCCCTTGTGAACCATCCCATTTTCACAGAAGCCTTTCAACAACATATTGAAGAGGTACACATTGATAACAAAACCTCGCTTAAAAATCAACCCAAACACAGAAAAGGCCAAATCAGGCATGTGAGTGTGCACGAAAATCTCAACCAAGGCGGCTAGAGTTAAAAAACGATGCTTAAAATGAGCAGAACCAAGGGTGTGGGTGATTTTACCATACGTATCAAATGCAAGTCCATATGCCTTGTTCTTTACCAGAGTTTCAACAAGAAAATTGCATGTAGACGCATGGGGACATTGTCTCAAATCAAAAACTGCATGCTCAAAGAGGCGCACAGCCTCAACTAAAGCGGATGAACTAGGGCAATGCTTTGCGCATAGATGTGATCTCAACTGGGAATCCAATTTTTGGGAGCACAGATCACTGGTGTCTGAAGATGAATCAGAGGAGCAAGAAATGTGTTTGCACGCAACCAATGAGGTTGTCAGGCGAGACAAAAAATGGCGGCGGTGTAGCGGTTTCTGAATTATATGCATAGCTCTCAACAAGTCAAAAACTCACAAGTTATTCGCACCACTCACCCTATCGGGCGCGCCCAACTTTTCGAGCCTTTCTTTTAACAGGTATGGAGTAAGGAGTAGTACACTATATTCCATTTGATCTTTTTAAGTATACAAATTCGGAGTTAATTGAGTACATCTGTTGGACTAACATTTTAATACGGCTGAATTGACTAACAGAATGCTAATAGGTCGACTTCTTGAAGGTCTGTGTCAGTCCCCAGCCACTTGATCGACGTCAGATCCCAGCCACTTGATCGACTTCCCCTTGGTCGACGTCAGTCCCCCTCAGGCCGACTTCTCCTTGATCGATCCACCCCTGCTGGCCGATGCTCCTCCCTGCAAGTCGACCTCTGAAGGTCGATTTTCCCTTTTCTGTCAACTTCTTGAAGGTCGGGGTCATGACCCTGTCCATTAACCCTTCTTACTCAACATTATGTTAGCCAACTCAGCAGTATTAACGTGTTAATCTAACGAGTGTACTCAATTAACACTAAAACTCCAAATTTGTGTACTTAAAAAGATCAAATGCAATACAGTATACTATTTACTCCATCTCATACAAGTTGGTGTACTCAATTGACCCTTTATGGACAAAATACGTATACCGATAGATTTAACTTTGAATGTTTTTACTTATTCAAAATTGCTGGTTTGGTCTAGTCTGGTTTGAATTGGTCTAGTTTGGTTTTGATCTGATAATGTGTGATCTCTATATATTTTATAACTATTCAAGTCTAATTTGGTCTAGTTTGATCTGGTCTGGTCGGTCTGGTTTCGGACCGAAAACAATCCAAGTCATTTGTAACTTTGGTTTCCATATTTCATTAATTTGTTGTCTAACTATTTGTATAGTTAATTATTTGTTTGTAAAATACAATTGACACCATTTGAAAAGTTTTTTTTGGAAGAGGGGACTTACATTGATATCACAGCATTAGCATTCAGAAAGAACTTGAAATGATATAAGGACCACAAACAATCATCGGTCCTCGAACCAGGCTCAGAGTTAATCACCTTCAAAAAAGCAATATAACTCGTTGATTCTAAAATTGACTTACATGAGTCAAAGACGGTTGAATTAGACCTTCCATTACACAATCCTAATGCAAGACCGCAAGAGTCTTACATCAATAAATCAAAACAACATAAAAGTAAACATTCTGATTAAAGAAAACAACAATTAAAACAGTAATAGAAATATCCTTCTCCATCCCGAAGTGCGCCGCCACCACCCAAGCAATGGGCCTGTCAAGCATCATTAGACACCCCGACGAGTCTGCTGATCGAGACCCGCATCCTCTCCATTTTTTGGCTTGTCAAGCGTCATGCTCTCTCCATTTGGATCCTCCTGTTCGTTCTCCTCCTAGATCCTTCTGCGTTTTTGTTCTCCTGATATCTCCTCTGAGCTAACAGAGTTCCTTTCATTAGTGGAGCTAGTCCCAGTTCCCATAGTAGTCTCTTGTTGGAAATATGATGACATGGATGTTACTATGAAGGGTCTCATTTTTTAGTCATAAAATATAAATTGTGTAACTAATAAAATAAAGATGGTTTGTATATATATCAAAGAACAACTTACATATTTTGGATTTATTTCATGAATAGAATCCATAGTTGTAATGTTGTAAAGTGATGTATGACCGAAGTGAATTTTATTTCCATGTTACAAATAAATAATCTCTTATAAGTTTATTAATAAATATTACATGATAAGAAACTTTATTGTTCAAGTATCATGTAAGACTTGAAATATTATTTCAAACAGATAAGTTTGACAAAATATATCAAGTGAAGAGACATTTATTTGTTGGACATAAATTGAGGGGTTATACAAACCTGAAAAGTTTTATTGCTTAAATAAATGTATGGACAGTTACTTTGGAGGAAATAAAAGCTAATTAAGATTGAATTCAAATTCATTATTTGGGTTTGCTGGGTCAATTGACCGTTGAATGCAAACCCATCTTTATAGGATTAGCTTTTGTGTCCATGTGTATATTCATATATAATTATACTAGCGCGGTAACGCGCATTGCGCGATATTCGTGCCCAATACTCGAAAACAAATCGAAAAATGGGGAAAAACATGTTAAAACAGCATCAGCAATCAACCACCTAAAAGTGAAAAGATTGAAATGGTGGATGCCAATACAAAGTAACAAAAGGAAACGAGAATTCAAGCATACAATGACCATGCCTTGTTCATAAGCAAAAAGGGCAAACAGTTGTGCATGTTTATAGTTGCTGGAGGTTTTTCTCTTGGGCGCCGCCCACCATCTGCATGGCCTATGTCCTCTTCATCATCGGCGGCGCGCTCAGCGCTTTTGGGCAGCACAAGTGGACTCTCATCCTCGGTTGGATCTATTTTGGTGTTTGTGTTGGATTCGGAAACGATTTTTCTCTCTCTAGGGTTTGCCGCCAGGTGCTTCCGCTAGAGTCGTTCATCCGCTATCGGTTTGCGCCGAGGAGTGGGGCCAATTTCGGTCATTCTTTTTGTGATAATCCAGATCTATCGTACATCAAGGGGATGCAGCAAGCAAGAGGCGGGGGTATTGGCAATCTACCCATGGATTAGGGGTTGACAAATTTGGTTCCGACCCTCGGCACGGGTGATGAACAGACGGGGAGCGACAAAGGGCTGAGCAAGGGAGATTACAGATCGGTGGTCCGTCCCCCTCCTGAACCTCCTCCTTGGATTGATCGAGATGTCAGAGTTTGGAAGATGACTGTTTGGAGTATTTTTTCAGTTATTCTATTTTTATGGTCTTATTTTTGTGTTATGTTTGTTTACGGTGTTTCGTTTTTTGTTAAAGACTTTAGTTTTAGGTTTACAATAATGATTGTCATTCTATTAGATATTATGTCATTAGAAGGATCTATATGGCCAGTGATTGCTGTGTCACACCCGTTTGATAGTTAGCGATTCGTATTGCTTTTTCAGGGGTGATCGTCTAAGAATAAAGCCGTAGGGTTGATTGTTATAGTTGGTTAGGGATAGTTTTTGTCAGGATTGATATTTTTGAATTTGTTGTAACGATCTGTTCCCTAATGGTTTAATATAAGTATTGGATTTGATGATTAAAAAAAAATCTGACCCATCAAGATTTTATCCAAATCTTCTATGCACAAATAGTTAAGCGTGTCACTACTCGTAGGGCAACAAGTTCCTACTTCCTAGCCCTTCAACTTCCACCTATTAATCTAACGATCTACCCTCTGATTTTAATAATGTTGACGAGTACCTATAAACGGAGTTTTAGATCTACCAAGCGATGATTTTAGATTTGTGGTCAGTTCGCCCGGTAAAAATCAGATAAAACATAAAGAAGCGAAAAGAGTTGTGTGAAAGATGCTTCTAATTTTCTTCTTCAAAGCTTTAATCCAAAGAGAGCTACGTGGAAGATGCTTCTATGGTCCTGGAGAGCCTTAGCATCGAGAGTTTGCTTTGAACGATTTGTTCTTCCCATTTCTGTAGTGTTAGTAGTGTCTTGTAGCAACGGTCGAATTAATTTGATTGTTCTTTCTTAAAATTTATTAAAGCATCAAATGACAGTTCACCAATAAACCGTTAGTGATATTATAGAAAAAAGGGACATCTAAGAGTTAAAGATATATATACGTAGTATATAATATTAATGCTTTTAGAACAATTTTTTTCGAAGAAAATATAGCAATGTCCCCCTGATAAAAGAATTCATAGCAAGTCTATAAGCCTTCAAACAAAAGTCCACAATAGAGGGTTCATGCAGATTCGGAAGCCAAACACATCCCCCAACAACACAAATTCAAGTCAGTCATGAAATAAAAGAACAACAAGATTTTTTGTTTTTTATTCTTCTGTTTCAAAGTAGACGAACGTCAATAACTTGCTCTCAATGGAATGTTTATACTAGTAATAAATAATAGATGCATAAATGTATGTACACGTGTAAGCTAGTTTATGAGCAATAGCCCTGTTGTGTGCAACATGTGACCTTTTTCTTTTGTTGGTAATCTACTGGGTTAATGGACGAGGTGTCCCAAGAGGAGGTGCATGGCCCTCAGGCCTCATCCTTGTATTCTTTTGCCATGAATAAGTTTCCGCATGGGCCCGTCTAGGCCAACGGGCTTATACGAACGGATGTTGGCAGTGCGCTTATAATTCGAATTCCATTCGAATTCCACTGTTTCTGGCAACTTTCGTTGTCGTTCGTCCTCGTGTGGTCGAGGGGCACAATCGAGGGGGATAGTCCAGCTACTTCTGGGCGCCTGTATCTTATGAGGATGCGGGTGTGGACTTAAGCTTGTATACTCTATCACTTATGCTCTTAATTTTTAATTTATCTTTTTGTCTTATATTTTCATATTATTTTTTTGTCTTTATCTTTATCTTTATATTATAAGGTTTTTTCTAAAATATTACTAATAAAAAGGCATAGTACAAAAATATGAATTAATAATTTTTACTCAGTATAATTATGTTTATATATAAATCATAATGACTAAATGTAATCACTATGACATATACCCTTGAACACGATTATAGTCACTAATAGTTACTACTAAGTTACATTTTTGTCTACCACTTTTTCAGGAATAATAGTAGTAGATTTTTTTATATTATCCTTTTTTATAATTTTTATTTTTTTTAATCTTGCCTTGTCTTTTTCATAAGTAATTGCCCTAAATAGAAGTAAAACATTATTATTTTTCTCTTAAATAAGAGTCCATGTTAATATATTTCCTATATGGGACAAAACATTACATTTCTACACCTAATCTACTTAGTTACTATAATTGATTGCCTCATAGTTCACTTTCATAATCAAAGTGAGTTCGTTAATGTTCGGTCAGTCCACTTTTGGTGGCGGCCGAACTCTAGCCATTAGCGAAAAAGTTCCTGTGGCCAGAATTGTGATGGCTGCAGGGGCGGACCCAGGAAATTCATCTGGGGGGTTCAAAATATTTTTTTGGGGGCGAAAATTATGTTTTGAGGGGGCGAAAATTTATTTTTCGTATATATACACTATTTTTTTGTTGGGGAGGCGGTAGCCCACTGGGTCTCTATTACAGTCTGCCCCTGGATGGCTGGCCCAACTCTATAGAATTTCAAAGCAATAAAAAAGACTCACATTTATAGAAGGAAAAATTCACATTAATAATCTCAACTATCACCCATCTTCTTATATTAATCCCAAATATTGATAATTCCAATATAATCTAAACTTTAGAGGATGCCTTCCGGTAACAAGCATGTGACCTGTATGAACTAGTTGAGTAGGTCATCAGACTATGTGACATACTTTTATTGGTCCGCATAACTTTTTCATTTTCTTTTATTTTTGTTTTTACTATTTCCGCTAGCATGTACTGCTTCTTCTTTTCTTCATCCCTATTCCCCTGTCTCCGCTTTTATTTCATCTCTGTATCTCCTCTCATCCTTCACCACGTTTTCCCAAAGCCTACCACTCCCATCCAATTTCGATTTCATTATTACGGTTTCATCTATAACTAAACCAATTTGGCCATTACATCAAATTTTCGGTTTTCTCAAATCCCTTAAATCATCTACTTCACCCAAAACCCTTGAATCTTTTCTTCTTCATTCTATCATCAAACCGGCGTGGTCTTCAGACCCCAAATCAATTTGTGCATAAAGAAGTAGAAGAGGAATATGAAGTAAAAAGAGAGCATCAAGCGCAGCTTCTCAAATTTCGATTTGGAGTAACCCAAAAAAATCTTCTGGAGTTGAATTTGAAACACTAAAATAAAAATTTGAGTTTGAGGATAACAAGGGAGGGGTTCAAGTCTTCTATCTGCAATTTTTGGGGAAGAAGAAAGTGCAAAGATGCAAAGAAAATAAAGGATGAAAATGATGGAGAACATAAAGTATAGAAAAGAAGAAAGGGTGGACAACGCAGAAAGTATAAAAAGAAATTAGGGGAGAAAATAAAAGCAAAATGAAAAACAAATGAGCTTAGGGATACATGGTCTTCCTCACACCACGTGTTTCTTTCTCTCTTTTTCTATTTCTTATTTTGTTAATTTTTTACCTATTTAGCACGTAGGAGGTCACCTGAGATCAATATGGGAAGACAACCTCTGAAGTTCATATTATTTGAGAATAACACATTTAGGATTAATATCAGAAGACTGGTAATAGTTTGGATTAATCTTGTGAATTTTTCCTTTATAGAATTTCAAACATCTATTATTAATTTTGCACTTATCACATACTTTACTCCTACTGAGGAATTATCTCCTTTTAAACTTTTTTAGCTCTGATTTCATATGTCGATTGAAGTTAGTCGACCCCAAACTTTTTTTGAACTAAAAGTCTAAAACCAGGATGTTGTAGAGGATATCTTTTTATACCTTTTAGTTGTTATTTAGTTTAGTTTAATTCCATTACAAAATAATATAGTTCCAACGTCCATCGACATGTTTAACAAATCTTGCTCTCACACATTTCAACTGAATATTTTTACTTGGAAAGTCTTTACTTGGACCACTTTCAATCATCGGCCATAACCAAACCAGACCAAACTTGGACATTTATAAAATACATAGATACCAAACATTTATCAGACTAGACCAGATCAGTTCGAACCAAACCAGATCAGACCAGTTAATTTGAGTCCATTTGAAAATATCCTTACCAAAAGAGCAAAGAGCTCTCTTAGAGAATCGATAATTAGTATCTATAAATGAATTGACGTTTGCAATTCCATGAAAATATATACTCCCTCCCGCTAAGATTGACCTATTTTTCCTTTTCAAGAAATCCAACTAAGATTATCTCAGACCAAATTTGACAAAGTTTGTGTGGCTCTAAATCTTTTTTACTTTATCTATTCAATATCAACCACATAAACTTACTTTTCTTAATAACCACGTCCCTCATGTCCCTAGGGCGGAGGTACTACTACGTAATAGCAGGCAAGCTTTGCGCCGGATATAGATCTCGTGGCAACAAACTACAAATCCATGCGCGGGAAAGAAACACGGTCCCAAAACACAAGAAGTGTTCATTCAATTCAAATGCCAAAAAGAAAACAATTGGAGTAGCAAGGGAGGAACAGAGCACTGTCTTCAACTGCAAGAGGTTGTCTGAAGGGATTTAACTGAATCTGCACGAGGTAAAAAGAATGGAACGAGCCAAGTTCAGGGAAACTGGTGTGATGAGAATTATAAACTTAGAAAGGGCATATTCACAATTACTTTAGAGTCATGGTAGAGGTACATACTTACAAAAAGTCTTACAAAAACATCACATTATTTAACGCATCACATCACTTTTACATCAAAAGTTATTACAATAGCCACATCACCTGTTTGTAAGTCTTTTTGTACGTTTGTTTGTACTTTATACAGAGAGTATTACTCAAGTGTGGAGACATGGGTCCCCAAGCTAACTCCAGCAAAAAAACTGACTAGGATTTGATGTCATATTAACAGAGGGTCTATCTCATCATTCTCATCCCCCCCCCCCCCCCCAATAAAGAAACTTCAGGAGGTGAGGTTCAACTCAAAGTTATAATATCAACCACATAAACTCACTTTTCAGGGGTGGTTCACCTCACCCCAAAGAAAAGTGAGTTTATGTAGTTGATATTAAATAGAAACCTGATAAACATCAACACTTGATCAAAAGAGAATAGTTAAATCACTAAGAATCGGAATACAGAGGAGAGCTTACAGGAATACTTGGACGGGAGCCACTTATTGAGTTTATACAACTTGTCGCTAGGACACAAGCTTCTTCACAATAATCAGAGAAAATTGCAGGAACTCTCATCTCTTTTATCAGCTCCTGGGAAAATGAATATTTTTAGACAGCCTGCGTAACTTTGAACTGGAAATTAATAGTGGGTTTTAAGGACTAACAATCGTAGGTAACCAGCTCCTGTAAGCAGCAATGCCGGCATTTGGGGCAATAATTAAGTTTGGAAAAGAATCCTAGCAGTAAAACAAATTGAAAAATTGTAAGCCAACATTGGAGTACTCAGATCGTACCCGCTCCACAGCATGATCAATGATGACACTTTTTTAGATAGCTAGAGGGGGTCTTTTTGGAAATTGCTAGGGAAGGGAAAAAAGATATTCTGTACAAAAGAGAGCTATTTTCTTATGTTCATTTTTATTTTCTTAAAAAAGTTACATACACTGATTTGGATGAAGTTTCCGTCATTTCCAATGGAGCCAAAAATCCACTATTTTTTGGCCGGGGAATATCATTGAATAAAACAAAATGGCTCACCAAACTATCTGCGTGATAAGAATGAAAAATACAGAGCCAAAAGGCTGGAATCCAATTTTATTAATAGATGAGCCAGAATGAATCCTAGAAGGGGGTTTAAATACACTTCTAGTAACAGACCCAACAAAAACCCTAATCGAGCTCAAAATAAGTAAACCCTAATTAGGCCCAAATTAACTCTACTAAATACTCTACTAATAACAGGCCCAAACTAGAAAACATAACATAAAGTTTATAATAAGTAAAACTAAAACCCCAGCCCACAAAGGTGAGCTCAAGCTCGTCCCCGCCTTCAGTAAACCCACGGAGCCTCTGCCCAGTGCCCCTCTTCCTCCAAGCCCAACTCTTGCTTTATAACAATTTAATCCCCCTTCAAACAACCTTGTCCTCAAGGTTGAAATACGGAAACCAGCTAACATTTGTCTCCAGGGGCTGCCCAGTATCTTTAGGAAAGTTGCCACTCGGTCCCCTTATGCTGCCACCACTCATGGCCGTGCTGTTACCCCACTTGGTTGTGAAAAACTGCCCAAACACGATTCTGTATTGTAGGATTGGCTCCCCTGGCCTCCATTCTGAAAGGACAGATTATCCTCAATATCTCTTGCCAATTCCATTGCTATCTCCAGAATGTTTGGCTGCAGCAACCGAAAGGATCCCCAAATCGGTCCTTTCAGTCCATTTAGGAAATACCTATATAATGATCAAGAACTTGCCTCGCCAATTGAATGATTAGAGTATTGTATTCCTCCACTTTACCCATCTTTGTTTGACCCCGGACAGCTGTTCCAACTGGCTGCCCTTGAACCTGAAGCCGAACCGAACCACTGGTGCTAATGTGAATTCTTCCCAGGCCATGCCCCGTTTCCGTGCTTTCAACCAGGTCACCCAATATCAGGCAGCCCCTTCCATGGCAACCATAGCTGCTACAACTTTTCTTTCCCGTTTCTTTCAAACTGATGTTCAACCCTAGCCACCCAACCGATAGGGTCTTTGCCATCGAACGAGGGCAGCAAGGCGAGTGTGGTGCTGCGCGAACCACAGTCACAAGTGTGCACCGATGCTGCAACGCTAGAGGATGCGGCCGATGAGGGCTCCTTCATCTCCGGCGGTGCAAGCGCCTTCATGAATGCAGCCAAGGAGGCTGCAATCTCCGCCAGTTGGATGCCTTGCGTGTCTCAAATTTTTTATTCATCAAGGCCTGTCCGGCCTCCAACTCCGTCAAGCGATCGTTGTGAGATCTCGTTCGTCATTACGGCAAGAATGGGATCCGGCGGGTCAGACCAATTGATAAGAACGAAAAATAAATCAACAGAATACACCGCTGTGCAGATTAATCAACGGTAGAAATCGTTGCTCAGATCCAAAAGGCTGAAATCCAATTTTTTATTAATAGATGAGCCAGAATGAATCCTAGCAAGGGGTTTTAATACCCTTCTAGTAACAAACCCAACAAAAACCCTAATCGAGCCCAATTAAGTAAACCCTAATTAGGCCCAAATTAACTCAACTAAATACTCTACTAATAACAAGCCTAAACTAGAAAACATAACATAAAGTTTATAATAAGTAAAACTATAACCCCAGCCCACAATCAGCCCACGATGGTGGGCTCAAGCTCGTCCCCGCCTTCAATAAACCCACGGAGCTTCTGACGCTCTTCCTCCAAGCCCAACTCCTGATTTATATCACTGCGTTTCTTTGTTATAAAGCAATGGTCGGTCCATGCAATTTTCAACGCGATTTTCATTATGAGTCATTCGCAAACAGTCTTTGTGCTTTAATACAGGGGTAAAGCTGCCTATCTGACCCCCCTTACCTCACTGTAGGTGGGTGCCTTTGCGACACTGGAGTAATGTTGTTTCTTTGTACTCTGATTTGGATGAAGAGAAAATATGGAGGAAAAATAAAACTTTTGTTAAAACTCAAATGTTTTTTTGAAACTCATTTTAATTATCTAATTATATCATATAAAGACTAAGAAATCTAAACATTTCTAAAAACAATGGTTTAAACATGTTTTTAGTCCATGAAAACACATTACATTTTGTTTTACATCAATGCAAAATTATTTTTTTGTTATTCATCCGTGAAATTTATGTTGATTTTCTTTTTAGTCTATCACCAATGATAACAACCTCTGTTTGAAAACGAAACAATCCCGATTAATAGATATCCTCTAATTCTTTTTCATGTTATTAAAGAAGTATTTAATTTTATTTTTAAAAGGGATTTAAAGCATATTTTTAAAAAGCCAATAATTAGTTTTACATTGCTTTAAATTTCATATAAGCCTCATAAGAATTATAAAAAGGATAAATTTAAAAGTTTCTAGTAGATTTATGCAACCAACAATAACTTTTTTTCTAAATAGAGTGGTTTCGGGGTTAGAGATGGACAAAAAACAAAAAAGCGCATATTACAGGGATGGAAAACAAAACCAATATTTTGTAGGGACCTAAAACAAGTGTCATATTTGCATGGACTAAAAATGTATTTAAGCCAAAAAAAATGTTCATGTTTCATTATCCTTGATATAACCAAACACGAGAAAATAACTTCCCATAGGCATTTTATTTTTTTTCCATTTCTGTTTACAGACAATTCTTATCGAAGAAACCATGAAGGAAACAACACTCGACAACCTTTGATAGATCTCTGTAACGATCGTGATAGTAACCGGAATACAGATGTAATGTGACTGGATAAGAATTATCGGTGGGTGTGTAGGAGTCACAACTGGTATTTAAATATTTGCATTCACAGTCCGTCTCAGCACATTGACAGTAACTGTAAAGATCAATTTTCTCTCCATCCCTAAGCACATAAAAAATAAAATAAACTTCAACACAATAAAAGTTTAGTCTTGATCAAGGCATCAAGCTAATAAACATGTATTGTGAGAAATTTAATTAATTGTATGGTGAGAAACTTACCTGTCTTGTGGAACTGAATTTCCAACAAAATATATATGCATCCTCATTCCAGGGAAAAACACACGCAGTTCACCAAAGACAGCAAGCTGACAAAGTTCTTTTTCTGGACCTTTGTGCATTACACCAGGAAGAAGAGCCCAAACTTAGTGACATCATTGCATGTCAGTACGCTACGCACTTAGGTTTCTCTTGCGACCAGATAATGGTAGGGAACATAAATTTTGTGGCAATCAAGAAGGAAAGAAAATTTGGAGGAAAAGGGGATAGACTCAAATTCAGTAAATTTAATTTAGAATTTGTTCAGACTCAACTTTTTATTTGTTTCTATTATATAATAACAAAGATATGTAAATACATAAATTTTATTTAAAATACTTATTATATATTATTTTAATTTCCATTCTCAAAGGTAAAGTCAAACATACGAAAATAAGTTAACTTTCTTTTTTTCCTTGGCATTTCCTGTCATTCCAAACATACCCTATTGTCTTGAGCAAGAGAAAAGCAAAAGCAAATCCAGTATTTCTCATACATTTATATATCATAGCTGAAAGAGAAACAGAGTAAAGATAAGAGAATCTACGAAGTCTTATACTCTTACGGGCTTATGGCTACACAGTTTAGGAAGCAGTACCTAAATAATGTATGTGAATCTCGCTAACAATTTCAGAAACCAGGCTTCTCATCTTTGCAAGTTCAATGGCCCAATACACTGTTAGTGGCTGCATAAGAGGGGATAAAGATGCATACTCAGAGTTCACAACTTCATAAAAAAAGGTGCTGAAGATTTTCAAATGAAATAACAGTCAAATAGATAATCAAGTTCCATGGTGTTGATTTTACAATGTCAACATACTAAATTTGCAATAAGACAGGGCAGGGCAAGCAACTATCCCAACTCATTGCTCTCGTAATATTTTCCAAGCAAGTGGAAACCCCCTATATGATGATAGCTTTGGGATTTCATTTCACTATTCCGTCTTTACAAAATTGAATTTTGCAACTATGTTTCTGCGTGGACTTAAAGTATTAAAATAATTTAAGACAACTCATACAGTACACTTATAGTGTCAAACAAATGTAAGACAACTCAAACGATAAATTTCAGAATGCTTAAAAAATGTTTTTAGCATGATTAACAAAAAAGGGTATGACAACAACAACAACAATATCCAAGTCTTTTTCGATTGATGACATGAATCAAATAGGGATATCATAACTGAAGAAAAAATCTTTTTCTTTAAATATATACGGATAGGATAGAAGAGGAGCCTAGGTGCACCGGTTAAGGTGTTGTTGTGTGAGTGAGAGGTCACGGGTTCAAGTCTTAGGAGCGGCCTTTTATCAAAAAAATTGACAGGGGGAAGGCTTGTCCCTTATACATTCTTGTGGAGGGACTCTTCCACAGACACTCGCCTTGAGGGGATGACTTCATGCACCGGGCCATCCCTTTTTATATGCAGATAGGAAAAAAGAATTCAACATTACTCATTTATTAAAGTAATCACCCACATAAACACAAAACATACCCAGTGAAGAAGTAATGCAACAGGAGAATTTAGTGGGATGCACCTCCATTCGTAGTATTCCTTCCAATTACTAATACACTTTATCATTGGTGAGGATGGCCCTGCATGTGAGTATCCCACATTGGTCATCTAGAATATCTACCGTGTTTCGTTTTTTATATGCAATTAGTGTGGTAAACCGCACCAGTTTAAGACCTTTTGGGTCAGTTAAACCCAATTTATTATGATATCAGAAACTTGTTTCATAGTTATTTGTCAGATGTTCAATTTAATGTATATTTAGAACAACGTATCTACTTTAAGTTCTTCAGACTGCTTTGTTTTCGTGAACGGGAGGAAACCATGGTTGGTTCCCTTCGTATCCTCAACACTATCAAAGCCAAGGTAACCGAGACCAAGACGGAGAAAAAGGGGCGTTTGTTCGTGGAAGCTAAGGTACGTGGACAAACAACTAAAGCTCTAATTGATACCGGTGTTTCACACAACTTCCTTGAAGTTAAAGAAGCTAAGAGATTGGGAATCCCCTATGTTGAAGACCATGGTTGACTGAAAGCTGTCAACTCACATCCTAAGTCAATCTATGGAGTGGCCCGTGGTGTTAAGGTTACCCTAGGTGAGTGGACTGGTTCAATTGATTTTTCGGTCGTTCCTATGGATGACTATCTGATTGTGTTGGGCATGAAGTTCATGGATTCGGTGAAGGCGATACCGATCTCGTTTGCCAACACAATGTGCATCATGAAGGAAAGCGAGACTTGCATGGTAAAGCTATCAAGGGAGGAGAGGAATCAATCTAAGCAAATCTCGGCCTTGCAACTTGCTAGGAGCATAAGGAAGTGGCAACCTACATACTTAGCCATTTTGAAGGAGGAGCAAGCACCAACGAGTGATATGCCGGAGGGAGTGGCTAAGCATAGTTATTACGGCGTCGCTGCATCGTCGCCTTGGCGTCGCCTAGGCGTTGTGGCGCCCAAGGAAGATCGCCATGGAAGCTCGATTCACCACAAGGCAATTAGGCTTCGCCGCCTCGTTTCCGCATCTTCACTGCAGCGTTAGAAAGAAGCCATAGACGCCAGACAACGACGCAGAAGTGTGACCCGATGATTAAGAACAGGCCCAAACCCAAATCCAAATAAAAAAAAGTTAACCTATCTGGCAAATTGGGCGACTCTAAAAGTCACCGCCATCCCAAACGCTGAGTCGTTACTCGTCAGCCAGGTCGTTTGTAGTTCGCATCTAGTCTCAAGTTCTCAATATTTTCCTTCTGCCAGGTAATTCCGTCGTCATCGCAATTTTGGGACAAGCATCGGATATGTAGTGCGTATTAGTTTTATTTGCTTCAGTATTTTAAAAATTCCCGTGCCAAATTTTTAATTTACACGGTTTAGGCTTGACTTGTTATTTTGCTCCAGGATTTTCCTTTACTGTCTAGTGTAGTAAATTTTCCTTACACGGTTTAATTTCCTTCACTATTTTTTGTATTTCTTTTTTTGGTTGCTCCAGTAGGGTGTGTTAATTGCTTTATATTCTTTCTATTCTATGAAAACAAATTTGAGTTTTCTCTACTAGGTGAAATTTCAGTTTTTTAATACTTGTATATATTTATATTTAATTTTATTAGTGTCTTGAATTTATGCTGAAATTTATGTTGTGTGTAATTGTGTTGTATTACATTTAATAAATTATTTTTAATTGTTAGTGAAATTTCAATTGTTTTATTTTGTATCTAATAATTTAATAACTTTTTTAAATAATTTAATAATTTAATAACTGATATCAAATACCAATGAAACTATGGATCCATCAAAAGATCCTATCAAAAAACCCAGATCGAATGATCCCGGATGAAAGTTTGATTTTTTGTCAGATCGAAAAGAATAACCAGGATTTGGTGGAATTCTCACTTTGTGGTTATGGTTTTATGGATTATGTTGTCTCTATGATAACATGTTTTATTACTTCATTAAGAGTATATATGTGTTACATGTAGCATTTCAGTATATAAAACATATTATAGATTTATTATTGTACCTATGTCGACTTATCGCCGCGATGTCGCCACGACGGGCGCCATGTCGCCATGGCGGTGTGGCAGCCCGGAGGCGCCACGCCGCAAAACCCCGCCGTAACAACTATGTGGCTAAGGCACTCGTAGAGTTCAAGGACGTGATGTCGTCCGAGTTGCCGAAGAGACTTCCGCCCAAGAGGGACGTAGACCACAAGATTGAGTTACTCCCCGGATCTACACCACCTGCGGCCGTGTCATACAGAATGGCACCGCCCGAATTGGAGGAAATGAAGAGGCAGTTGAAGGATTTGTTGGATGCGGGCTACATCCAACCATCGAAGGCACCCTATGGCGCACCCGTGCTGTTTCAAAAGAATCATGATGGATCACTTCGAATGTGCATCGATTATAAGGCGCTTAACAAGATTACGGTGAAGAACAAGTATCTGATCCCACTCATAGCGGACTTGTTCGATCAACTTGGAGGGGCAAAGTGGTTTTCAAAGTTGGACTTGCGATCGGGCTACTACCAAGTTCGGATTGCTGAAGGAGATGAGCCCAAAATGACTTGTGTGACAAGGTACGGTTCCTCCCAATTTCTAGTGATGCCATTCGCACTCACGAAAGCTCCTGCAACATTTTGCAGTCTGTCTTATGGACCGAGTTTTCGAACCGTTCTTGGACAAGTTTATGGTGGTTTACTTGGATGACATAGTCATCTATAGTAAGACTTTGGAGGAGCACATTGATCACCTAAGGTATGTGTTCCCAAAGTTGAGGGAGAACGAAATTATGTGAAGAAGGAGAAGTGTGCCTTTGCACAAAAAGAAGTGACGTTCCTTGGGCACATAGTTGGAGGGGGCAAAATTCGAATGGACAAGGCAAAGATAGAAGCAATATGTGGATGGGAGCCGTCCAAGAAGGTGACCGAGCTTCGATCATTTCTTGGACTTGTTAATTATTATCGAAGGCTCATCCAGGGCTATTCTTCTATAGCATCTCCGCTCACAGATCTATTAAAGAAGAAAGTGACATGGAGTTGAGATGAGAGGTGACAGCACGCATTCGAGGACCTGAAGAGGATTGTGACCAAGGAGCCTGTCCTAAGACTCCCCGATTATACTAAACCCTATGAAGTCCAAACCGACGCTTCGGACTTTGCCCTAAGAGGAGCCTTGATGCAAGAAGGGCATCCTATATGCCTATGAGAGCCGGAAGTTGAATGACATTGAGCGCCGTTACACAGTTCAAGAGAAGAAGATGACAGCCGTGGTGCAATGTTTAAGAACATGGAGGCACTACTTATTAAGGTTTAAGTTCGTGGTAAAAACGAACAATGTGGCGACGAGTTACTTCCTCAACCAGAAGAAGTTGACGCCAAAGCAAACAGGATGGCAAGACTTCTTATCAGAGTTTGATCTTGTGATGAAGTACAAACCGGGGAAGACAAACAATGTGGTTGACGCATTGAGTAGGAAAGCCGAGGTAGCTTCCATCACAAGCCTAAGTTTACCTTTAGTAGATCGAGTCAAGGAAGGACTGGAGCATGACCCAAAGGCCAAGAGTCTGATGGAGTTGGCAAGTCGAGGTAAGACGCGTCAGTTTTGGCTAAGAGAGGGGTTGCTCATGACCAAGGGAGACCGAGTCTACGTGCCGAAGTGGCAAGGGTTTAGGAAGGAAATCATTAAGGAATGTCATGACTCGAGATGGGCCGGGCACCACGGAATCCGATGCACGATGGCGCTTATAGAGCGTGCCTACTACTGACCCCAAATGAAGGAAGAAGTGGAGTTATACGTGAATACTTGTCTTGTGTGCCAACAAGACAAGGTGGAACAACAACAACCAGCAGGGTTGCTGGAGCCGCTACCCACACCTGAGAAGCGTGGGAAAGCATTTCGATGGATTTTATCACTTGCTAGCCTAAGTCCAAAGGTTGTGGCAACATTATGGTCATGGTGGATCGGTTTAGTAAGTATGGAGTGTTTATCCATGTCCCTACGAAGTTCACCGCTGAAGATGTCGCACGCTTATTCTTCAAGCATGTGGTAAAATATTGGGGCATACCGAAGACCATCGTAAGCGACCGAGATACCCGTTTTACCGGGAAGTTTTGGATGGAGTTGTTCAAGATTATGGGCTCTGAGCTTAACTTCTCTACACGCTTTCATCCCCAAACCGACAGCCTAACCGAGAGAGTGAATGCCTTGTTGGAGCTGTACTTAAGGCATTACATGAGTGCATTACTTGCTAATTTTCTACTCTTGACAGTTAACACATTCCCAACTAGCAAAGTCACTTGTAGATAAAAATAATATTGAAGTTTTGGACTGTGTTTGAGTTTCTTACAATGAAAATCAACCTACTGGAACTACTATGAGAAACACAACTCAAATAAAAAGCATCACAATGCAATGTTGAGATAAACGAATATGTTCGGAGCCATGCCATTAATGAATGGAACCAAAGAAGCATGGAAATTAATACATATATATTCACACATACATAATATACATATATTGATTAGGTGTGTTATTACAGATACATATTGATAGAGTATTTAATTCTAGAGAGAAGTGAGAGCTAGAGAGAGAAAGTGAGTAATTAATATTTCTCAACCCCCTATAACTAGCCCCTTGGGGTCTATTTATAGGTAAAAATGTGGATTTGGGCCCCTAGCCTTGGGCTTAGGAGGCCCATTACAATAATCATGCCTTTTTTGGGCGGAATAGGGCCACTAATGGGCTGAGTACAACACTCAGTAAATAAAGTATGAAAATGCCTTCTGCCCGAATGGAGCCCGGCCGATGCGGTAACTTTTGGCCGATGCGGTCCCATGGCCGATGCGGCCCCAGAAGTCCAGGTGGCGTTCTGGGCTTATTTGGCCCTAAGCCGTTGCGGGCCCTCTACCGGCTGTAGCGTGCCGCGTGGGTGTTTTGCTGGCGTGTTTGACCCTAGAGTATGTGGGTCATGGGGTCCAGGCCCATATACTCTATCACATATATATAATATATATATATATACATACAAACATACATATGATTTTGGAAATTATGGTTGAGTGTGAGTTAATGGGCTTTTAGATTATTTGGGATTTTCTATATGGCTGTGGGGACCATAGAAATGACGTATTTGGGATTTACTTAGGAGCATGATTGTAGATGCTCTATGTAACTTGCAGGAATACTAGTCAAAATAAAAGCATATAGCTTATTTTGACAACAAAAACGGCATATTACCTTTACAAGGGCATAGCATGCTCGAAAGATTCCATCCATCACTATGCCTGTGATGTAAACAATCTTAAATGATAAGATGCAATGATGGTGCTAGGAACTACTAAGTTTATAACACAGCCACATCCAAGATTCCATTTCATAGACAAAACACCTTCAGAAGTTATTGTGAGCACCACCCCTATCATGACATCATCTCAAAGTAATTTCAAACTTAATGGTTATTTTGCAGTAATAAAAGAAGGCATGAAGATTGCCTTCCAAATTCAATCCATTCCTTCGGAGCATGTTTAGATCAGGGGAAATGCTAAGGAAAGAGCAAAACAGCTAATGTTATTCAATATTTGGCTTTACTTCAAACTATGTAAAAGAAAGTGCAATATGCCTTCAATTTTTAATTCTTTTTTCAAATATTGAAATTTCTTAATCTTTCAATAATAGAAAAAATAGATAAAATGAGTTTGAACAGATATACTACGTACTTCGTATATGATAAATTTACTGAGATGGTGGTGTTAAGAACTACCAAATTCATCACAAAACCACATCTAAGATTCCCTTTTTAAATCATAAGGAGTTATTCTGAGCAGCTGGGCACCACATCCTGACAGCACCTCAACAAATATTTTATTAAGCATGAAAAAAATGCAGCTATAAAGAAGACATGAAGATTGCCTTTTCAAATTCATCGCATTCCCTGAGAGTATGTTTTGATAACTGAGAAAAAGTAAAGGAAAAAAGAATGATTTAAGTTTTTTTTGTTTCACATGTCAATTTTTTTTTGCCTTTATACAATAGAAATAAGTAGATAAAATCAGTTCGAAACATATCCAAAATAAATCTATTAAGATTGATTATGTCCTTTACTTTGTTCAAGTTATTTTTCATTTCTGTTTTTCCTTTACATTCTTCCCTATTTTAATTTCCTTAATATTTCCAGGCTCCCAGCGTGTGCGCATGGAACATAAAGAAGAACATGTGAAAATGAAGGGGAACCTTGATACATCTAACGAATCAACTGGCGGACCACACGCACACTCCCATGTCCACATTCCCACGTGATGAACTCCCTGAGTTACTAAGAATGAACACCTCGATAGACTGTGATCACACACCTGCAAAAGTTATGCAACCAAAAGATTAAATGAACAAAATTTGATGGTCAGACTCTTAAATAAAATACAATCTAATCCATACCTTAGTTGTAGCTTCTACAGTAAAGGTGAAAGGGAAATCATTAAGAACATTGGCGCCATTCATTTGTTGTTCTAGCCTTTTGCACTCTTTCTTATGAGCACTCCGATGTGAAACCTTTACGCATTATTATAAATTACTAAAACATCAAATTACATCCCAGATCAGTGAAGCTAGGGCCTTTGGAGTATTATGTGAAGTTGATGTTCAAAATAAATATATAGTCCGTACAAAATACCTGGTGAGAGATTGAGCAGTATGCAACGGCTCGGCAGCGCCCACAGTGTCTAGTGGCATGGCCTGAGCATGGTGTTCGGCCCCCCTTTCCAGCACACTCCATTGATCATCAGAAAGAGACTGCTGCGTTGTGCGTCTTTGACCCCATCACGCTGCACAATGTTGTGTTTCAATCATTGTCGATCTCTAATTTAACACAATATTGAAACAAACAATGATCCAATTATCAGAAATAGCAGTCATCAGAAATCGAGCAAAAAAAAAAAAAAAAAACTAGATTCTAGATCACTCGAATAACAATTCTAGTATTGTTCACATCCAATTATCTACAAACATACCCCAGCACGGTAACACCTCATTTAGCTTACTATGTTTGTGTTCCAGCCGGTTGTGATTACATTAAGCAAGCAAGCAGATCTTTACTATGTTTGCTTACTTGTTTGTTGCTTACAGGGGTAAGGGTTGGGTTAGGTAGGGTACGCATAGAGGGTAGGGGGGTTAGAGGTATGGGGACAAGTAGGGTTAGGGTGGGGCAGGGGTATGGCTAAGCATACAAGGTGACCTTCACTTATTATATACTATCTATTATATACTTGTGTATATGAATGTTTATCTATCGAACATGAGCTTAATAACTTGTCAAGTAAACGTGCCCTACGTAATAATAATCAACGCGACAAGTTCACAGAAGTTGTGTATAAACTAGGCTAACCACTAAGGGGCTGTTTACTTAGGACTTAATGGACTTAAGGACTGTTTGCATTTGATTAAAAAAAGCACTTTTCAGCTTTTGGCTTAAAAAAAGTTAAAAAGAGTGTTTTCAAATGACAACTTCTGCTTAAATTAATCACTTAAAAGCTAAAAGCTGGAAGCAGGTGGAAGAGTGCTTTAAACAGCTTTTCACTTTTTCTATTACACAAAAAGTACTTATTTTACCAAACACTACCAACTTTTACTTTTACAGAATCACTTTTTCCTCAAACACTACCAACTTTTACTATTAATCACTTTTCCCCAAATCACTTTAAAAAATCACTTTTTTAAAGTTTAAGCAATTGCAAACACTCCCTTAATCACTTAACCATTATTTCATTAAGTCGCGTTTATTTGGAACTCAATAAAACACATAACTTATTCGCTCAGACAAGAGGCGACTTATTCGTTCAGTTGAAGAAACACACTCCTTTGGCTTCAGACACGGGGATAGGTCTATTTCCCTCTTTTAACCCTAAGCAATACTTTCTTTTATCATCCTTCAAACATCGGGATCTTCTTTGACGGACGAAAGAGAGCAAGGTGCAGCTCTTCTGGAATTGTTTATTTTTTAAATTTCATACTTTTTACATGAATATTAGACCTGCACAAAAGCGGGTTTGGGCCGGGCTCGGGCCGGGCTTTCCATAAGTTTTATGCTCATCGTGTGTGGGCGGGCCTAGCCCGGCCCGCAAAAACAAGCCTAACCCCATGTCCATACCCGCCCGTAAGAGCGGGCCGGGTAGTCCACCGGGCCACCGGGCCCGGTAAAACATTAAATTTTTCAAAATTATATAATTTATTTAATACTATATAAATAATATTACAACATTTAAAAAATTGCTAATACGCTTATAATGTATATAGGCATTTCATCACATACACAAAAAATATTTACACAAAAATAATAATGAGAAACTATATCTAAAATTTAAAATTCAAGCACAAAGTATTATCTTTAAGTACAAAAATAGATATTATATTGGTTGAACTATTTGTTAAAAACTAAAAACTTAAATTTAAACATAATAAACTATAAATATGTATACAGATAAATTAGTAAATATGAAAATATACAAGTGTACGTGTAAATAAATACATAAATTAGTATATATAAAAATATATATGTATATATACTAAATGTAGCGGGCCGGGCTTATCGGCCCGAACGGGCCTACACCCTAACCCAAGCCCAGTCATATGTTGTTGCAGGCCGGGCCCGGCCCGGGCCGGGCCGGTGGGTAAATATATATGCCCAAGCTCGCTAATTTGTGCGGGCGGGCTGGGCGGGGCGGGAGGGCCGGCCCGGTTTTGTACAGGTCTAATGAATATACAATTGCCTTATATATGCTCTCTGCTCCTTCGATTTTGAGTCCGTATATCATACCACCGGGTGTACGTACACCCGACCCAGGTAAGGAAGACAGCCCAACAACCAATACAAGCCATTTTTTTCAGTGACAATTTTGTAATTTAAGTGAAAAATCGCGGCTTCTGCTAAATGAGCAATAATATAATTTTAGTGAGCATCAGACCTATTTTATTGAGTATTAGGAGGCTAACAATGAGTTTTACGATCTTTGCTTCATACATTCTAATTCTCTTTCTTTTTCTTATTTTTTCTTTTATTATAAAAACTTATTAAATTATATCTATAATCTGCTCTTATTAATTTCAATATGCGAGTTTAATATAATATGATACTTTTGAAATATGCATTGATATGACATTGTAAAAATGAGCATTACATCAGTACCAAATGAGCATACATAACTACAATGTGTACATTGATATGAAAATCATAAGGTTTTGTTAGTTGAACATCACGACATTTTAATTGAGCATCAAACACCCGTTATTGAGATGAAAACCACAGTTTCTTGTGAATGAGCATTAATGAACGTTTAATGAGCATCTGGTCTATTACGTTGAGTATTAGGAGTCTAATATATGAGTATAAGATCGGTATCAGATGAACATACGTAACTAACAAAATGAGCACTAATGAATTTGTTAGTTGATTTGTTATACTCATTTGAATTTAACATAAAATTCATTTCTATTGTACTCAATATGTGCTCAATAATCATTTGTGTATTGATAGGACATTTTAAAATGAGCATAAAACCAATATCAAATGAGCATGCGTAACTTACAATATGTGAATGTAATGTAACACTCCGTATTATACTTTTGAGATATGTATTATGTATGGATATAACATTTTAAAATGAGTATTAAACTAATATCTGATGAGCATATATAACCTAGAAATGAGCATCGAAAAATTCAAAAAGGTTATTTAAAATATCTAGTACGCTCAAATTTTCATTTATATATACTCATTTGAATATTCTAACATGCTCAAATATACATTTACATATGTTCAATTCCTTTAATAACTATGCACATTTATTATGAACGCTTACTCATTTTCAATATAAAAAATACTCATTATAATATTAAAATACAAGATCAGAATTGTAGTAGAGAGATCTCAGAACTAAAATTTAGAACTAAAATAGGGACTTCCCAGAACCTCAGCACCTAAAGATCGATCTACATCACAGAACCTCCATCAGAACCCTAAAGGCCACATCTTGATTCTCCATCGTCAATTTCCCAGAACTCCCCACCCTAGCATCGATCGACCACTTCTTCACAAACTTCCAGGAACTCGACGACAAGGTCAGATGTGATGACCTTCTCACGGTCTACGCCGACATCTCCATCGTCCGGCCGTCGGAGGAGGACGACCAGATCGGAACAATGATGTGTATCGCTGATTTGAACGAGGGGTCCAAGTACGAGAAATTCTAGAAGGTTGTGGTCGATTCTGGCAACGGATGTGCGGCTTTACCACTGGAATTGAAAAGAATTGCAAAAATACCCGGTTGTACGCCGAGAACCGTACAACCGGGTGTGCGGTATAATTTACCTTGGATTTTGATCCAGGAGCAAACTCTCAAAGTAATCCACTCGCTGACTTGCATACTTGGTTGAATTTGATTGGAATACAAACCATAAAATAAGTAGATCTTCATTTTTACATTTTCGTGAATTGAAAGCTGAAATTATGGCTTCAATTTTCTTGATTTTTGTTTTGTGTAAACATTGTTCCTTCTGTTTCAGATTGAAAATCATACAGTAAAACTCATCGGTTGTATAGTGAAACCTTATTTCACAGTTTTGTTTAAAAATATTTGATTTTATGACTTATTTAATTATTTTCGGGTATATAAATTTTCTGGTAAAAAAACTCTTGTTTAAGTAATTCATAGTATTAATATTTTCTGGTATATAAATTTTTTCTTTCAGAACGAGGAAACTAAATAGACAATACACATTTAGGACTTGTTACAGACAAGAGGGTTATTTGGTCATTTGACATGATTCAGACTTCTCATTCAGCACACTTAGTAAACAACTTGTTATTTCAGTGTAACTTAATCCAGACAGGCAGCTTAATGAAGACAGACGTCTTAATCCATTCAGGGCTTTAGTTGTTATTGATCGGCCCACGAGCCTCGTCCTCATCAGGACTGGCTTGATGTCATCATTTCCATCTCAAGACGGAAATGATGACGTTTAATTCCAATTACGAGAGCTATTCTACGAGAGCGGATGAAATTAAGGCAGTGTTATTATTCTCTTGAGGGGCGATCCCTTTTAGGGTGTATGTACAGGAAGTATTTATAAACCTTAGGTTATAGTATTCTAAGAGGAAACTGATACATTTGATGCATACAATCATAAATAGGAGTCCTGTAACGTCTCGAATATGGTGCAATCATTGTTTCTCTAGGTCTATGTTTCTTCCGTTATTTCCTGTCATTGCCAGATAGCTATGCTCAGATGATAGTCTGCCACATAAGCTCTAGGATGAGTCTGAACTCGCTAGAATCCCGCCCAGGCTCAAGGTTTGTTGTCTAGACCGGCCTGCTTGTTGATTCCTTTCATGGGTCGGGTTCCTAGTCAAGCTTAGCGGCTATTATTACTTATTATAAATTTCGATTGATGGGTTGTCCCGTTGATGGGCTTTATTATTTATTCGGTATTGGGCCATGACCGCGATCCATGGTACCATCACAGGTGTACTAGACTCGCATTGAAAGTATGTACCTTTGTGATGATTTTGCAAAACATTGACCATTCTATGGTATATGTAATGGTTTTTTTAACCCGGTAGGCAAACCACCAAAATCAGTGGGGTAAGTGTCGGAGAACATTTACCGAGTTTTATTAAACAGAAATGAGAAACATACAAATGAGACGTAAAATATATGGTACACCCGGCTGTACCTTCCTCTTGGTACAGCCAGGTAATTTTGTAATTAAGTCCAATATCTTGCCCTGTTTATTGTTCGTTGTTTCCTTTTGTTCGTCCTGTCCTATAGCTTTCGTTCTTCTTCCGCAGCTTTTTCCGCAGCTTCTAAGCATAGCTTTTGTTCGTCGATCTTTACTTCCTTCTCAGAATTGTTGTCTATCTTCCCAGTTTTGTTTCAAGCTTACATTCGTTTCCTTCTTCCGCAGCTTTCGCAATTTGTTCTAGCTTCGACTTTTACTTCAGTGATCAATTTATGTAAGTAATTTTCCTTTGCCGTTTTTCATTTATACGGAGTATGTTTTTGCCATCTTCCATTTTTATTTGTTTTTTTGTTTCATCGAATTTATCCTTTCCTGTAGTCATCTTCATAGATATATGTTATTTTTTACTCAATTTATATATTGGTTTTATTGTTATCGCTACTGTTTTAAGTTGTTTCGGTTCAATTGTTTTTGTGTTTCAGCTTTGT